AATGTCGACTCACTCAAGGCCGGACTGGACGAGGGCAACGTGACGGGTGAGCAGTCTTCTCAGAGCTTGCTTCTCAACCTCCTGCAGCGTTCCATTGCTGCGAGATCCAAGGCGAGCATCGCCTATCTTATCGAGCAGCTGCCGTCCATTTATGAGCCCGAGGACATCAACCACCGCAACTGCATTCACCGACTTGTCATTCACATTGGCAGAACCAAGTCGTCTGATCCCGACAATGAGCCGAAGTCGTATCCTTTCCCGATCGGCACTCAGTTCACTTCTCACGACCTCCAGCCTGCAGTCTCGCAGGCTGTGGTTCCCCGCGCACTCAATCAAAACGAGACGAAGCTGCTCGGCAAAGATGACGAGGCTGTCCAGATTCTCATGTACCTACTCGACACTCTCAAGCCTGAGCACAGAGATGCGCTCACCGCCAGAGACTCCTTTGGACGCCTGCCGCTTCACTATGCCGCCCGTTTCGGCTTCGTCGTCGTGTGCCAGGTCATCATGGCCAAGATGCAGGAGTGGGGTCAATTCAACGTTGAGAATGGCATCGATGCCCCCGAGTGGCAGGATAATGAGGGATATGCTCCTTTGCACCTGAGTGTCGTGGGTGGACATCCACTGACCACCAAGGCCCTTCTTCAGGGCGAAAACTGGCAGGGTGTGAGTGTCAGGAAGGCCGAGATGAGACGAACGGTATCCAAATCCGGTGCAGTTCTCGCTATGGCCACCAAGTCCAACTACAAGGTCATTGTCGAGATGCTCGTTGAAGCTGGAGTCGACATCAACTGGCAGGATAAGACGGGTGAAACCGCTCTGCACCTTGCCGCCCGATTCGGCCACGATGAAATTGCAAAGTCGCTGATTGCCGGCACCGACGAACAGAAAGCCGACCTTGAGATTGCAGAGAACACCTACGCCTGGACTCCGCTCCATGTCGCCGCTGTTGACGGTCACTTGTCGATAGTACAACTGCTGGTTGATTCTGGCGCGGTTGTCGCCAAGGCCGACTCATCTGGTTGGACCGCCAAGGAACACGCTGCCCTGCGTGGTCATCTCGACATTGCCAGGCTCATCGCGACGCAAGCCGAGTCCGAGATTATACAACCTACCAACAATCTCAAGATTTCTAACGAGAGCTCTCCCCGGTCCTCATCCCCCGAGAACATGTCTTCGATCGATGGTCGCAAGTCAAATGGTGCTATTCGTCCCGTTGAGCCGGTCAAAACCTTTGGTCATCGATACCTTACCGATCAGAGCATGGTTCTCGTCAGTCTCGGATCCATGGATATGCGCAAGAATATCGAGGCCGTCAAACTCGACCGCGTTCCCTTGACCGAGGCCCACTTGACGGAACTCGACACCGCCTTGTCTATTGTCGTGTCGGCCACTGGCGCCAAGGGAGAGCCCACCATTGTTGACTTGCCTGTACACGAGACCATCTCCACAGAGCCTATCGTGTTCACTTCGGCGGACCCTTCCCAGGTCAAGCTGATGTTTGACATTGTCCCAACTTACTCTGGAAACGAGAAGAACAAGATTGGACGTGGTGTGGCCCTGTTGTCTTCCATCAGGCCGACACTTGGTACTAAGCGCATGAACCTCCAGGGTGATGTCTGTGTGCCGATTCTGGCCAACAACTTGGATGTCATTGGCACTGTCAACTTCAACTTCCTGGTTGTCACGCCATTCTCGCATCCCAACATGGAAATCAACTCCCAGCAGACCTACTGGAAGAAGCTAGCTTCAACGATGGTCATTGGTCACCGCGGCATGGGTAAGAACATGACGAGCAACAAGTCTCTCCAGCTTGGAGAGAACACGGTACCTTCATTCATCGCAGCAGCCAACCTGGGTGCGCAGTACGTCGAATTCGATGTTCAGCTTACCAAGGACCATGTCCCGGTTATTTACCATGACTTCCTTGTCAGTGAGACGGGTATCGATGCCCCGGTTCATACCTTGACCCTGGAGCAGTTCCTGCACATCAACCCCGACTCAAACCGCACCAATGGTGTCAACAACGGTGTCAACGCAGTCAATGAGAGAATCGAGCGCGTGAGAAACAACGCACCTGGCCCTAGACAGCGGTCTTTGTCCATGGGCTACGCTGGTGATGGCCTCAACGGACACAGCGAAGAGCGCATGAAGCACACTCGCGACTTCAAGAACAAGGGCTACAAAGCCAACTCCAGAGGCAACTTCATTCAAGCTCCATTTGCCACATTGGAGGACTTGTTCCGACAGCTCCCCGAGCACATCGGCTTCAACATTGAGATGAAGTACCCCATGCTCCACGAGAGCGAGGAGCAGGAGATGGATACCTACGCCGTCGAGCTCAACTCCTTCTGCGACACTGTTCTGTCCAAAGTCTATGACCTTGCTGGCAACAGGCACATCATCTTCAGCTCCTTCAATCCGGACATTTGTCTTTGCTTGACTTTCAAGCAGCCTTCCATCCCCATCATGTTCTTGACGGATGCGGGCACCTGCCCTGTCGGTGATATCAGAGCGTCCTCTCTTCAAGAGGCGATTCGTTTCGCCAGCCGATGGAACTTGATTGGTATTGTCAGTGCCGCCGAGCCGCTCATTAACAGCCCCCGGCTGGTGCGCGTCGTCAAGGAAAGCGGTCTGCTGTGTGTCAGTTACGGTACATTGAACAACAACCCCATCATGGTCCAGGTAAGTCTGCATGGTCTGACATGCGATACGGATGGAAAGTGATGCTAACTATTTCTTGCAGCGCCAGGTGAAGGAAGGCATCGATGCAGTCATCGTGGACAACGTCCTCGCCATTAGAAAGGGCCTGACGACGACCGAGGCCGAAGTTCTCAAGGGTACTGGCGAAGACCTTGAAGAGGGATCCGAGGGTGATTCAGCTTAGAGGAAAGCATATGAGTGCGGTTTTCGGTTCCACAGTACGGGAAGAACTGAGTGTGTGTGTGTGTGAGAGAAAGAGAGAGAGATACATATTTTACATGGCATAGCGCGCCGGAGGGAAAAGTGGCATTCCAGCTGGTCGACTGTGTTTCGGCAAGCTTTCAACATTGAGGGAAAACAGCTGAAGAGGCTTAAACAGCCTCTCGCAACCCGTGACAGGTTTTTGAGGGTAGATTATGAACAATACAGTGAGCGACCCCACGTGGCCCTGCTTATTTATCGTACCGACATCCATTGCCGAGATGTGATACAGGTGCAACCTGTTGAGAGGGGGCGGTCTTCACTTGCAAGTTCTGTCGAGGCTGATTCCGACATGTCCAACAGGCTACTTTGCCCGTTCTTTCTGCATGGTCTCACTCGTTTTGAAGTCTAGGTATCAAGCTTAGCCCCTGCCTCGCCTCACCGAACGATACTGACTCTAATCGGTTGTGGTTTTTTGTTTCACAACTACCGACTACGAAGAGTTCACTTTACCCATCACGCCCATCCAACCCAGCGCAGCGCGAACGGACCAGCACAAATCTGAACTCGAATGTTCGATCTTTCTTCCCCAAGATTGTTCCGATTTTGCGATTTTAACAACCTGGGTAATCATGTGTAGCCCCACCCATCCACCACAGCTCCACAGCTCCAACGTCAACCCACCACAAACCCTGGAACCGCTCCCTCGTCGAAATTTGGCAAATTGAGGGATATAATGACACATTTACCCGTCGCCGTCAACCACCCAGCATCGAGATAAGTTCGGTTCGGGATCATCCGCGTCGATGGTTTAGTGGTAAAATTCTCCGTTGCCATCCAAGCAGCGTCGGGGAGCCGGGGGTTCGATTCCCCCTCGACGCAATTCTTTTGCTGATTTGGAGGATATGTTGATTTTGGGACAGTGGGTATGCTTTTGCGGTATTGTTTTTTGATCCTGGGTACTTTCCCTCAGCTTAGGAGATTACCATAGGGTCATCCTTGGCAATGTCCCTGAAGTCGAGAGTTGCTGAGTTCGTCCTCGATGATACGCGAGGAGCAACGTTTTCCTGCCCTGTTGAGGTGAGTGGTTTCAAGTCTCTCGTCATTTAGTGGTGAGAATATCTTGTAATGTGTACAATATATGAACCGCAAAGGCTATGCCTGCTCTTTACAGGAATATATATCATTAGTTAACGTTGCTGTCGGAAACCATTATCTGTTAATCAGATGGCCTATGGGAGATCTCAGGACTCAAACCCGGTGACCTCGTCTCTTCTTCAGTGTAAAGCAAACATCCATCAGTCTAATTTTTTCTTCCCGAAGAAAGACTCACCGTTGAACCCCCAAACCCGGGTACCGACATCTTCGTGGAACCGTCATGAGGCACACCGCCTCCTCCTCAACAGCAAGACCAAACATGACATCGGATGGCCTTATCCAAAGAGTTTGTAGTACTCGACTTCCTCGCCTTTACATCCAAGTCACGAGTCTCTTTTGTATTCTTAGAAGAAGGCCTGATCGGGTCTCGGCCGTGGGCCTCACATGAGCAGCCCTCTCCCTCGTCCTACCTCGACCACCGCCTTTTTCCCCACGTCATCAGGCTTGAGGTATCCCCATCATATCTCGCATTCCACACAAGAAAGCTATTTTTGCTCGTGAGTTCTCCGTTGCCTTGATTTGCCTCGCGGGTGTTTGCTCACCGACTTTATGCGGACTTTGAACAAGGCGTTTTGGTTCGCAGCTTAAAAGCCCGGGTGGGACTAATACTGAGCAACGTTTTCCCACTTCGTCTTCATTTTCTCTTCAGTTTCCGGCACACTGAGTCAGATCTTTTGAACAAACTCTTCTCTCCGGATCTGCATACAAAAATTCAAATATTCCATTACATCGATTGATCAGAGACACAGGAGCTCACCATGAGTAGAAGAAAGAGACTCACGCCTCAAGAGTTGGAGAGACTATGCAGCTACGCAACGCCCGCGGGTCGGTGTCCCTATTCCAGGGTGACCTTGACGAGAGATGGAAACCGCTATCCATCTCGATTCTGCAAGCTCCATTGCTGCAAGAAGATTGATAATAACGCTGCGTGTTTGAACATGAGGACTAACAATAGGGGATACTGTCAACAGCGTACGTAGCCCCTGAACCTCGAAGATATCATAATGCCCCTGAAATATGATAACTGATCCTTTTGCTAGATCTTTTATGCCAAGGCATGATGAATGATGCTAGATGCAACAACTACATCAAGAACTACGATCCCAAAGAGTTTAGGTACTGTTCCCAGTATCGTACGTCTGCCCATCTCTCATCCTCTACCCTGGCATAAGCCTCCATCATCCATCTAACAACCATCCAGACAACTGCATCCAACAAGGCTGCGCAAACCAGCGCAACCACCCCAACGGCACCGACTACAGATACTGCCCAGACCACCGCTGCGACCACCAAGACTGCACAAACCCGAAATCCCCTCCATCCTCCTTCTGCGCCTCCCACACCTGCGCCGCACCCTCTTGCCTGGCCCGCTGCCCCGGCGCGACAGGCGACGCCCACGACCCCTCCCGCCACTGCGACCGCCACCGCATGTGCGCCGCGCCCGGCTGCCGGCGCTTTGCCCACGTCAACGAGCACGGCGTCCCCTCGGCCCACTGCGGCGAGCACCACTGCCGATTCGAGCAGCAGCCGCCGTGCGGCAACGCGAGGGCGGCGGGCGCCGGCGAGGGGACGTGCTTGGCGCATACCTGCGAGGAGAGGGGCTGCGGGAGGATCAAGACGAGGTACATGCCGGACGCGGGCGGCGTGGCGGGACGGTATTGTAAGAGGCACGAGTGTGATCGGGAGGGGTGCTGGGAGAGGAAGTGGGAGGGGAGCAGTTTTTGCGTGAGGCATAAGTGTGCGAGGAGGGACTGTGAGAGGGATGGGGCGTTTGGGGATTACTGTGATCGGCATAGGATTTGTGGCACGCCTGGGTGTGGGAGGTTTCGACATGTGGATGGGGAGAACGTGAGGGATATGTGCGAGGAGCGTGAGTTCTGCACCCTTTTCTCTTCTTCTCCTCTTGCCGTTTCTCGATACTCGGCCCCCTGAACCCCTGACCTCGACTCTGGTTATTCTTCGAGTCCCCCCCCAGAGCAAGTAAGCTGACTTCATCTCATCACCCAGACCTGGCGACCCGCTGCCGCAGAGCAGGGTGCGACGCCCGCGTCGTCGAAGGGGGTACCCTCTGCCTAGACCACACCTGCCGAGACCGCAGCTGCCAAAACGAGCGGTCCGCCCTGGGCCGCTACTGTACCGACCACAAGTGCTCCGTCCAGGGCTGCCAGCAGCTCCGCGAGACGGTGGTCCTGTCGCAGACGATGATGATGCTGGGCGTGCTGAGCCTCAACCTGCCGCTGTCGCCGTACTGCCGGGCTCACGTGTGCGGTCAGGAGGGCTGCGCGGAGCCGGCGGCGGGCGGCGTGAATGGGGGTGGTTCGCGGTATTGTCTTGCGCACGCGAGGTGTCGGAGGCCGGGGTGTGGGAATGGGGTTGAGGTGAGGGGACGGGATGGTAGTTTGTGTGAGGAGCATAATCGGCTTGGGGGCGGGTGGATGGGAAGGAGGGGGATGTTGGATCCTGATGCGTATGGATGGGGTGGTGGTGGAGGAGGAGGAGGAGGCGGCGGTGGTGGGCAGCATTGGCCTGGGTTTGGACCTTGGGGAGTGAATGCCACTATTTAGAAGATTTTGAAGCACTGGAGGCTATTTGGCATAAGTTTGGTTGTGGTTTCTTGCAATAAAAGTTTTGACTATTGGCAGTATGAGATCCACGGACTGGTTCTGATCATGAACCTACAGCCTCCGGACCCTGCGAGTAAGATGGTTCTCATGAAGAGACGAATTGCTGTCTGGTTGTTTGGTTTTGGCATTGTGAGAAGATTATCCGTTTCGGAGTATCTAACCTCAAGGATGAATTTGTTCTTGGGCTCTTCCGTTTGCCTCGCTCTTTCCCCTGAGGCAGTTGTCCGGGCAGCCATGGGCCAAAGGTATATTCCCCTCCTCAGTCCCAATTCTGTCACAAGCACAGCAGCGCCCATCTAGGTGGGCGAGGTCAGGTCAAGCTGTGTACCAGGTGGTCAAGCGGTCTAATAAATTGAATACTACAATGAAGTCAGAGGCCGGGTTGACTGAGGGGCGACCTGTTCGAGTCTGGGCAGGGGCGTGAATTATAAGGTCAGTGTTCACCTCCCATGCGTTCGTTTCTTTTTTAATCCTCGTTTTCCTATTCTAGTAGTATAGTATAATTCAAAACGAATTCACGATTGCAAAAGACCAAGGACAGAGAGAAGCGACCTCTGTCGTCGCATGTTTGATAAAAACATCTAAGATATCAGGCACAAAGAGTGAAAATGCTCAGTGAAATAGGACGGCACTACGCAAAGCACCACAAAACCATTTCACGTACATCAGTCATGAGGCTGTTCAAAGATTCTTGTCTTACGTATTCGTTATCCCTTGCGAAGTTATATGGCAGTAGTCTAAATCCCGAACCCCTTGATATCCTTGACCAAATCAGTGATGCTCTCCTCCAAGCTCTTCCACTTGATACCCAGAATCTTCTCCGTCGCGCTGTTGTCGTACCCGTACACCTTATCCTTGGGCGGCAGCTCCCCGCCCTTGGTGCTTTCCGCAGGCAACCTTTCCTTTAGCTCGGGGAAGTTTTTCCTCACCACCGTCGCGATCTCGGCGTTGCTGAACCATCCGGCCGTCGTGAAGAGCCTCTTGCCGCCGGCCTCTGGCTTCTCCAGCGCCAAAATGTGCGAGAGCGCCAGGTCTCGCACGTCGATCCAGAGGTACGCCGCGCCCGTCGGCGCCACGGCGTCCTTCCACTTGCCCTTGACTAGGTCTACGACGCGCTCGTTGGAGGTGTTGATGCTGGCGAGGTCCGCAAAGTGGTGCACCACGGGGCCCAGCACGAGGGGGGGAGTGAGCGTGACGAGGTCGAAGCCGGGCTTCTCGTCCTGTACGAAATCCCACGCGGCCTTTTCGGCGAGCTTCTTGGAGGCACGGTACGCCGTCGCGGGACTGCGCCCGATATCTTCGACGGTGACGGGGTTCCAGAACTCCTCGGTGAAGATGGTGTTGGGGTCCTCCGTCTTGGCCTCGTCAATGACGGACGCGAAGCTCGAGGTGACAACCACCCTCTTGACGCCCGGCGCCTCCCGCTTGAGGGCCTTGAGGATGGCCGTGGTGCCGACGACGGCCGGGTCGATGAGCTCCTTTTGGGCGTCGGTCCACTTGAAGTGGAAGGGGCTGGCGGTGTGCAGGACGGCCTCGAGGCCGGGGGTCTTGACGACCTCGTCAAAGGCGTCGGGGCGCGCAATGTCGGGGACGATGGCGACGTGGAGGCGTGAGGCGTCGAGGTCCTTGTGGGCGTCGCGGATGCGCTGGGCCTTGTCCTCTGAGCGGACGGTCGTCACGACGGAGTGGCCGCGCGCGAGGAGCTGTTCGAGGATGTGGGCGGCGATGAAGCCGGAGCCACCTGGTGATGTGTTAGTGTATTGTGTTCTGGAGTCGCATTGAGAGCTTCTCGCCCGCAGGAGAGAAGCGGTTTGCTGTGGAGGGTGCTGGGAGTGCGGCCGTGATCTCACTCGTCACTTACCTGTAAGGAGAATCTTGGTCATTTTGTCGTTTGTATATCTCAATGGCTCTCAATGGCTGTTCTTGAATGTTTCTAATCAGGATGGATGAGTCAATGTTGCGGCTTCAATGATTCCTCGTATCAAACGTATGGAATTTCTAATTTTACTCAGACACATTGAACCCTTTTATCCTTCCCTCAGGTACAGCTCGACCCCTCCATCACCCAAGACGCCGTCACTTTACCCCTCCATTGCATGATGATTAACAACCCCCAACCAATGCCCCGCTCTCTCGACCCCCGCGCAACCACCACACTTGTACTGCATAATTCCATTCAGGTCCCAGCGCGGGTTGCGTGGGGCACCAAAAGCGTCACGTCATCCCAGTCTTCCAGGGCGCCATCGATTCGCTCATCTCCTCGCAGGTGGTCCGGCCCCGATTACTTCGGCTAGCGATGTAAGCACCAACATCGCCATCCATGGTGTGCGAGACTTCGATGGTGTGCGAGACTTCGATGGTGTGCGAGACTTCGATGTTGTGCGGGGGGAGGCGCGGGCAGGCATCTTAACCCGGAGGACCCGAGGCTGCGGGATGCGGCTGAATCCCTGGGTTTCGGCATAGATGATAGCTATACCTCGAGGGACCGTGAGGCGGAAGGGTTGATAGGAGGGCCCTTGGTTGGCCTACGCCTCTCGGGCGAACATGGCAAGGATCCAGGGGATGGGGCTGGCCATGCTGACGAGTACTGGGGGTTTTGACTTCTTCTTTTGTATCGGGTTGGTCTAAATAGGTCTGTTTTGACGGAAAGGAAGTTGGTAAGTACCTATCCTCACTCAGGGAACCGATATCCACAGCCTAGACTTACCGAGAAGAGGTTGGAGATTGATCGAGGCGCAGCAGACCTTTACCTAGAGTGAAAGTGAAGGTTAAGGTTGAAATCGATGTGACTTAAATCACCTGCTGTAGAGAACGGAGGTGCGATTTCGAAAGGCCCGAGGTAGGGCAGGCACGGTAGACGGGGGCTAACGCGGCAGGAGCTCAAGAGACGGGAGACCCACCTTACCGGCAGCCGGCGCTCCGATACTTTGCATTGGGTATCTCAAGAATCTTGCCCTGCCTGATGGCACCTAGGTACCTAAGGCAATATCATGATGGCATGCGACTGTGGAAGGCAGGCATCACCTAAGCGTGGGCACCAGCCGGTGACGATGGCATACAGTCAAAATAACTGGGTCCTTTGCTCCCCTGGCCTACTTCTCAACAGCCCAATTCGACACTCATTCTCATTTCCGAACTTTTCCACCATCATCATAATATTTGGACAAGACTTTAAACTGTCCCAGACAGGCGGTCTGTCTGCGACTGAAATCTCATTTCCCGAGACTCATTCTACCAGACCCCACCGTCATGGATAGCACCTAGTCAAGCAGCCTGCAAAGCTCCTTCCTACTGTCAACCAAACTCGCGATCACAGCTCAGGTAAGATGATTTCTCTGTTCTGTAGATACCTCGCCATCTATTCCATCTTACTCGCCAGCCACTCTCTCCTTCCCTTATGTCTCTCCTTCCTACTCAGGTCATTCTCGACTCTACTCCTTCCTCGCTTTACTCTTCCTTCAACCTCTTCCTTCCCCACCCTGTGCCCTTCTCACCTATCTCACTCTTCTACCTCTTCAGGCTTTTCTTCCTTTTCTCTCTCTTCATAGTCTCACTACTATCCTTTCTCCCCTCAAGTTCCGTTTCGCCTCTTCCGCTCTCCGTTCCTCCGTCAAGGTCCAAAGTATTCTTATTGAGCATCGGATTTGCTCACTGTCCAAGAAAACTTTTTGATCAAGAGGCTAACTTTCATCAGCATATTTCACTCAGCTTTGACTAGCTTTGAACAGAATCAGCGACTAAGCGCCTCGCGATCCCGTCACTGACGCCCGCTAAAGTGGTAAGTTGACCTCCCCGTCACCGGAAAATGCTTTTGAAATCTAACAAATGGTCAGTCACAAGACCGAAAAAGCCTCATCTTTACACTGGTCTCATCAATTCACCACAACCATGGCCGAAGATCCCCAAAACGATAAGCCAGTCACCGAGCATGACATCCCGTCTTGGATGAAGACCAGGGAAAGCGATCCCGCCAACGTCACGCCTTCGTCCGCTGCCATGCAGAAACACCAAGCTTTACCAGATGACACTTCGCTGCGCAAATGTCCTTCAACCATGATCAAATGCGTCCAGGAAACTGCTGCCTCATTTCTTCCCCACGTCGAACGCAGCAATTCCAGCAAGGAATTCGCGGCCAAGGCACATCAAGACTCATCGAACCAGGAAGAGCAATCACTGCAAGGTGGCCCTAGATGCCTCAATGAGACCTACTCGAAAAGGATCGAAACGAACATCCTCGACTTTCCCCACGTCGAATTACTAGTCGACTTCCTCGTTTCTCTACTCGACTTGGAGAAGTGGCACCACGTCATTGGCGAATTGTGGTTCTGTGCAAAGCCTTCACACATCGTTCACTTTACAGAAAACAATCTTGCCGGCCTCAATGAAGACGACCGTGGTGTCTATCACATCCACTCGTCAGACCCGCACACCGAGACGTTGTGGCCGATTGCACTGAGTGCTGCTGAGGTCTCTGCACGTACTAACGGTCTGGATGATGCGTCTCATACTTTATACGTGGCCCTCAAGCAATGGCCATTGCAATCGGCATACCCATATTACGCGGACCTCAGCGACGTTCAAAGCATGCTTGCCCGTGTGAGGGTCGAATCTATAACAGAGACAATAACAAGAGCATCCTGAAGATTATGGGGGCGATCTGTGAGACCGGCACGACAGAAGTGGCATTACGCGACACGAATCTCTTCACCAAGTATCTGGAGGGAAACATCAGACTCTTCGTTCAAAAGGTCGAGTCGCGTTCTAAAGGAAAGAAACTGCCACCGGCGGGCCACTGGACATAGCGAGATACTGCCTGTAATGCCAATTAATTGAAGAAAGGCATTAATTATCCTTTTCAGAGTTCATTATGCCTGTGCCCCTGCCGTAAAAAGAAACCTGCAGTTGAAAGTGTCAAAAGGAAACTGCTTACGCCAGCAATACGCAGCTTCCGGTTTACTTGGAGTCTTGATTCCAAATCCAGCTCCAACAAGAATAATCACCGCCTCTGCTAGATCGACATATTCCTATAAAATAAGAAGCCTTGCTTGCCCCGTTCAGAAGGCCTTCGACGGGAGGTTGCATAAGCACACATCGCTCAGCTAACGCCCTCTTCGAAAATAAAGGACCGGCACGTTCGCTGCAGCCTGGTGGAGCGGAGCTGAGCCAGCAAACATCATGGAAATCCGTCGGATTCACTGCAGCCTCCCGCCAGGCGGCGCGCCATTTACTTACCACCCCTTATTTCCGACGGCTCCTCAAACCCGGGCGAAACGAGGCTGCATAAGTTCGAGGGACTTACTAGGTCTGTGGTACTTCATCGCGGAGGGAGGATTTAGGTTCTCTTGACAGACCTCCATGCTGGATTTTGATACTCGACAGAACGCAGGCTACTGTCGTCAGCATGTAGCTTTTGTTCCGATGTGGTACCCTGGCAGTCAGCTTAAGATGTGAGAAGCAGCCAGCGTAATTTTTACGCCAAGTCAGATTGTCGACCCCCTATTCTACTGCGGGATGAGAAAGCAATACGAAAGCATCTGAGAAGACCCCCGACATCTTCTAGAGTGCGCAAAGTGGCACTCACATTTCTTAACGTCTACTACTCTCCATCCAAGCTGAGAACAAGTGTATAATAGGGGTAAAAGTGCCACTCCTTGCAATACCAAGGTATGACCGCCCCGTCGTGCATGTCAGCCACCCCGGATGACTTCAGATATCTCTGAAAATCCATGCAGCCCTCGACAATCAATCTAAAGCCACAGGACGCCATGCGAACACCATACCAATGAGGCATCGCCGTTGAATCTTCGCGTGTTGGGCCTTTCAGCTTCCTAGGCAGACATCACGGAAGTTTTCCCACGCGAGTTGTACGACCCTACCTTGGCCCACCTGTGCCGTGCTTCTGCTGCCGCAGTCTATACCCGATCTACAACCCGCTGGTGATCGCCCATTTTACTCTTTCTGATCCCTCATTATTCAATCTAACCCGTCAAACTAGGTGGCGGTTGCGTTGAGTGTGAATGCTGGTCATACTTCGTGTAGCGCTCGCAACTCTAGACTTTATAGGCATAATCTCCGTTTCGCCCTGCATGTTCTCTTGGTCGCCCAGTGTAGATGCTAGTTGATTGATTTATGCCGAGACAATACCAAGGCAAGGGTCTATATGACGCGAGTGCGACGGCTGCAGGCATGAATTACTGTCTCAACCCGAGAACCAACCGGTTTTGACACGATGGCCAGGCTTCTAGAAGGTGATGAGCTGCTGACCCAGAAAACGTTTCTTCTCCCTTCAGCCTTCCAAGTCAGAAGAGGAATTTCGAACAAGAGGAAAATCGATAGATTATCACTCCTCCACTGCAGTTTTGGCTTCGTAGTCTTTGTTAAGCCATCCTACTCGCGACGTGACGTCGTGGGTAACAAGCTTGTGCGACAGTCTACTACCGATAAACTCTCCTTCAAGCACCCGAGACACCCGAACGGATCAAGAGTCATGAGTAGTTCATCAAAGTGGCATGCAAAGAATAAGGTCATGGCCAAGCTGAACCACGAGTACAACCGCGCTAACCGACCCTGGAAGGCATCTCGCGGAAGTCTGACAACGAATCCGTGGGAGCTCGCGTACGATGAAAAACCATTGGTTTCCGAACCCGTGATACCTTGGTCTGTGTTCTTCAGCGAACGCCGCCAGATGGTCCCCGGCCCGTTTCGTAGTACCCCTCGCCTAGTCACTCGTCCCGGGCAAAAGCACCTTTGCTAGGAAAGATGGCTACACCCATCCCGTATAAGCTTAGTACTTTAGTCGGCTAGCTTGAACGGGCCGTCTTCGAACAAGACTGCCGATCAAGAGAGGAGACGAAAAGGGGGCGGGGGCGGGAAGATCTGGGTGCCGTACTGCTAGTGTTCCTCCGTATGGATGAGGTCGCGAAATGCTGTCCCCGCCGCGGTGCTTCCTGTTGGGTTTCGTGCGAAGTAGGGCCGTTCGTGACACGGAAGCCCCATAGATGCAGGTCCAATCGCAGAACCTATGAGCATCTTTTGTTCCAGGACTGACTCCATCGAACGAAATGAGTTGAAAGACTTCTCGGGTGGCATCTCAGCGAGCGGAATGTCCATCTTTGAGAGACTTGAAGAATACGAGCTTTGGTGGACGCCGAAACGGTATCGCTTCTCTTCAAGGGGATGTCAGCTCCCCTCCTGGACCCCCTTGTTGATGCAGAATCTTCAAGTACGCACAACACGGAGGTAAGAATCTCGAAGCTAGTGAGTACTGCAGAATCCGAACCTGTTCTCCATGCCAATAGGGCTATCTTGAGTTTCTATTTGGGGCGGGTTTACGGCCAGCTTTTGTCAATCTATTAAGTCCTGGCTTACTCTCTCTAACACGGTTGCGGGCCACTCGGGTACGTGCATATGTCTCTCTTCCAACAGTCTCTTGAGGCTGTACGACGTTGACTACGTGCAAAAGGCCATGGAGTCCGGGAGCGTACAGATACAGTGCGGTGTAGCCACCACGGTGATGCTTGGCCAGTCCCTCCCGACACCTTGTCCGCCTCTTTTCACTTCACCGAGCCTCCTGTGTGAGCTGCCCCGTATGTCTCGAAAGTAGACATGGTATATATCAAAGATATGGACGCCTTGCTGAAGATGTAAGCCCCTCGTCGGATATTGCGTTTGAGTTCTGGTCAACTTGATGCCACACATCACTCCCACATTTGCCAAGACCATTCACGCAAAGAGCCTTCACAACCTCAGCTGAGCTGCCATTGAGAGAGTGGTCATCTGTCTCACCTGACCTGAAAGCCTCTCATCCACGGACTCACAAGACACTATACTCACAGCTACACTCGCCCGAGACGAAGTACAAACCCGCCTTGCCGTCCATCACAGCCCTGCTGAACTGGGGTTCATCCATCGACCATGGAAACGGGGGAAGATGATCATCCGGAGCTGGACAAGAAAGAGGAGGCATGGGGATCAGTGGCGAGCAATGTTTCGGATCCGCAAAAGTGCATCGAGGAGTGTCGAGCCCAGGTCCTGGCAAGGGTAGTACCTGGCTTTAATGGATCGAGGTACAATGAGGTTTGCAAGCATCTGCTAGCAGACGATGAGGACGCGATGAACACTTTATGGGAGTTGTATTGCTGCGATGCGACTGAATGCGGGGTTCACTTGAGTGGAAAACCAGAGCTGGGACAGGATCGTGAGTAGAGAGACAGCTCTTGATATTCTGTTGTCGTATGGCTTCTGACTTCAGCTCAGCCAGCGTAAATCTGGTTATTAATGTATGTCAAGGGTAAGTCGGCCCCTCTCGAGTTTGACCCTTCTTAACTGACTCTAGAGCTCAGTATCTTTGCACCAGTAATCAAAGACCCAGGACCTCCCCCGGATGACTCCATCTGTCCGATATCGTTGAACGGACCGTTTATCAATACGGACATGAGACCGTCATACAAGACGGATTCAAGAGGTAGAGAACCAATATTCACAGACTTCGGGATAATGGCCACGGTCCCGCCGGAAGTCATGCCATCGGCTGCATCATCGACTGCATCGTCGGCCTCAAAAACGTCGGCACACTTAACAACATCGGCGACGGCATACCCGACATCCTTCATACCACTCGCGAATCAGTCTCAAACCCATCGAAAAGATGGGCTACCCACGGGAACCAAAGT